ACGCCGACGCGCGCACCCACGGGGCGGGGCGGCGGCAACGCCTGCGCCGTGCCTCCTGAACAAGCCACCGCCCCCCTTTGTGCCTGCCGTCGCCAAAGCGTCCGCAAAAAAGACGCACGAACTTGCTGGTGGGACCTGGCTTTCTTCTTTTTGAGGTGCTGGGCCCCGGCGCCGTGTTGGGGCGGACCGCCTCGCCAGGGGTAAGTGATACAAGGCGCTTTATTCTATTTTCTTGTCCAAAACCCATGCGTATAAATATATTAGATTCCGAAACGAGGCAGTTGGGAAAAAAAAAATAAACAACTAAATAATATTCCCCCGGGCATGACCCCTCAGACGCATGGGCAGAAATATGTATTTATATATATGAAAAGCGGAAGGGGATTCCCTCCAACAAAGCACTGCTCTCAGAACAAGAGAAAAAAAAATGGTAAAGCAAATACAAATCGACATTCGCGCACCCTAATCGCCCAGCGGATGACCCCCGCCCAATCCAATCTAAAAGGCCATACTCTTGAGGGCGCAAGAATCTGAACGGAGTGCTTGGTGCTTCTCTGCCATATCTTCCACTTTGCCCATCTCCTTCCCAACCATGTTGCAAAGCGCATCGGCCTCACGCGCCTTCTGCAACAAAAGGGCTCGGAGTTTCTTGTATTCCACATCAGCTTGACAACTGACACGATTAAGGCGCGCTGAAAAATCAACCTGCTCATTTCGTAGCTGTGCAAAATCCATCGAAAGCGCCTCCACGTGCTGTTTTACACGCTGAAGATTTCTTGTTGCCCACTGTCGCGTCGATTCCATTTCGTCCATCATAACACCCTGAGACCTTTCTCGTTCCTCTCTGAGAGCTGACACTGCAGTGGCAGTTCCATCCGCTTTTTCCTGCAATGAGAGAAGCGACTCCGACATGTGTTGAATGTTCGTTTCAAGTGGTATTAATCTAGAATATTCATTTACTGTAGATGCTTCAAGCGCCTGTAAAGTCTTTTCTATGAGACACAGTCGTTCACGAAGGGCAGTTTGAGCCTCTGAGTGAGAAGTTGCCATGGTGGAAGCTTCCTTCTGGGTAGTTTGCACGCTCTGTTCAAGGCCCCTACGAACTGAGTCCAAACGTCGCTCAAAATCTATTTTCATATCTCTTAACTGCTCTTCACTCTGCTTCCGCATTTGGGTCATATCGTTCACGACTTCTTGTCGAAACTCCGTCATCGCTTCCCGTATCGATGTTGGTACCTTTCCCTTCAGCGTATCAACTTCTTCTTGTAGTCGGGACATAACTTGCTCCTGTCGTTTCAACCGTGAGCGCAACTCCTGTTGTTGACGTCGAAGATCAGTCTCCTTCTCCTCTTGTAGCCCTTGGGCCAATTTGACCAATTTGGTAAGATTCACCATTTTTTCATCAAACGCATCTACACGAGACGATAGTTCTTCTATTTGATTTACAAGCTGTTGAACAGAAAAAGCGCCTTGTAGCATGTGCTCGACCCGCTGTTCAGGTACGTTTTCCATCTCCACCGGCCGTGTCGGGGGACGTGCTGTGGTCTCGTCCCTTCGCCTTTGGCGCAGGTATATATCCGTGTAATCCATTGTCCCGCCACAATCGCTACACACACCTTTTGTAGTGTTTGTGTGTGAAAAAAAGAAAGAGAAAGAGAGACCAAACAATTATGCAAAATTAAAAATAAAAACAAAGGCCCCATAGACTGTATTATATATATATATATAATATCTCAATTGTACATAAGTGGAAACCATGTGAAGAGATAAATAGTATTTAATACACACACCAGAGAACTAATAGTTTACAGAAGGCGATCTGAATCATCCACCGCAAGACACACATTCAATGTCTTGCTCATGCTCTCCCACTTGGCTTCAGCTTTTCCCGCCACCACCTTTTGTGGTAGCGCAGCCCGAAGGTAGTACTTCGTAGAAAGCACACGAAGCTCATACGGATCCACTTCTATAGCAAGATCTGCAAGCTGCTCCAGCTTCGGCATCACAACCTTCACAAGGAGACCGGATGAGCCAGGCTTGTTGATGTCCATACCCAAGTATACATCTTCCGCCGTAACCACTTCCTTATGCATAATGGTGTATTCGGGCTCTTCTGCATCATCCTTTGGTTTTAATGCCGTGCCCTGACGCGGATGAAGTGATGCGGCAAGTTCCTCGTCGGTCCAAATGGCGTAACCCTTCACTTTTGCAGTCTGACATTTCTTTGCTTGTAGTCGTTTCGCCTCTCGGCTCTCGGATGGAAGGGGGAGGCGCAGTTGTTGATCTACCACCGTTGCAGGTAAGGCAACACTCACCGGATTGGCCTGCACCGTGGTGGCTGTGCAAGAAGAAACGGGTTTTGCACATTCTGCCTCCTGCAAACTGTAGCCTATGGTCTGTCCATCAGGGCGCTTGAACCCACTGTTTTTGTCCAACAGTTCCACAAGATTCGAGATATCTCCCTGGCTAATGACTTCGCCTGCGTTCATTCTCTCTCTCTCTCTCTCTCTCTCTTCAGTAGCGCAAAACAGAACTCCAAGAAAAAAAAACCAAATAAGTAATTAGAAGTAGTAAAACATAAAAGAAAAGAAACAAGGTGGATGTATGATATGCTGGGGTTATGTCTCCCTCTCTCTCTCTCTCTCTCTGTGTGTGCGTGGTAATACAGATGTATAAGAGGACCCTGCCCACCATTAGCGAGACTACTTAAAGCATCAAAGTCTTCAGGCGGATGAGAGTACCTGAATGCCACTCCACTCGATATCGACCTCCTTTCCAAATTACGGAAAAGCACAATTGGGCCACTTCACTTCTCATCACAGCTTACTCCTGTTACCTAACAGAGGGTCAAATTCTAGCTTATCAAGAATCTTGCGTATTTCTGGCCTAAAAACAAGGTGCGAAAGATACTGCTTTGTTTGGAAGGCTGTAAGCACAGAGGTGCACATACAACCATCCTCAACAGTTGTGGTGTTAAGCACCTTCTGATCCATCATCGTGAGTGGCAACTTCGTCCGATTGATAACATTATCCTGGGACCATAACCATAGAAGCTTCAGCGAATCCTTGTTGAGGAAACGAAGGGGCAAACTATTTCGGGGTCGTTCAGCTGTGACGTATAAATCCCGAATCAATGATTCATAGGCCGCGGTAAGATTCAGCTGTTGGTTTGCAGGATCCTCCAAAGCTTTTTTTGCATTATAGTATTCCAAAAATTGCATTAAATTTGACGGCCAGCGTAGCACAACTTCTTCATTCGATGGTTCATTATCTCCTTTGAAGTGGTTAATAATGCTAAGCATGGCATGCACCTGTTGTGTGTGTTCCAACATCTCACGAAGGAGAGGCTCAATCTTCCCAACATATTGCTGGAGGTCTGGAATCCCCACCACACGGGGTAGCTGCCCACGTATGAACTCTTGAGGTGTAGGGATAGAAGGAAGTCGCAACATTGAGGAAGACGCAACACGAGGCTGTAATGAGGTACTATGCTCCGCTGCAAAAGGCATTTGTACAATGTAACCACACTGCGGGCGAAGGGTATTGATAGGATTAGGCGCGCGTAGGTACGTGATAATATCTACATCCTCCGCCTTGAAGGGGCTCATTGTTTTTTCAATGAAATTCTTGCACCCTGGTGACTCGAAAGTGACGGCATGCGTATGCTCCTCGACCGCACGGCACGCCGCAAGAACAGCACCAAAACTATGCCCAGTGTAGCTGATAAACCACTCCGGCGTCTCCCCTCGTGTAACGCTTAGGTGCAAACGCACTTGCTTTGAGAACTGACGCGCCAAACTAAATTGGATAGTCCGCTCATCAAAGTATGTCCAAACACCAGCTCGAAGGCTAAGCGCATTGGTTGTGCCCCGTTGGGCGATAATGCAGTGACGTAACCCTTCGTTAATATATGCTGCAGCAAAATAACCCTCCTTATCCAAATGTAGATCCGTAGCTGTCAGAAGGACCTGCCAAGAGGCAGGGGGTGGCGGAGTATTTGGATGACCATATACTTGTAATGAAAACAAGGCGTATACATAGTGCGACACAAGTGGAAGGGATGGAATGTCTTCAGGTTTAAGCACAAGGCGCTGCTTAAGGACCTCATCTGGGCCCGTGGCTGAAGGTTTGCTATGACCAAAACCCATGATGATATGCAGATTGAAGCAGGACGTCCACGGCCCTTTTTACCACACTGATTGTGGAGCAGAGAGAGAGAAAAAGAAAGAGAGAGAGAGAGAGAGAGAGAGAAAGATGTGTGTCCCAAGCTGATGCCACGCACAACTGGCAAAACATACACACACAAAAAGGCACAGACGCACGGACAGAAGCCTTTTTCAGATGAGTCAGTAACCCTTCTGAACCATTGCTCTCCAATCACGCTGGACAAGGGAAACAAGAGCCTCTCGAGTTCCCCAGAGCCCGATGGAGCGACAGGCTGGTGCACCCTCCACCAAGCTTGGTGGATCATGTTGAGACAGACACTGACGCTGCCGCACAAACCGCATAATGGAGAGATCACCATTTAAGGGTGCCGCGGTATTGTCGCGATCCTTTTTTGGTTCCCATAGTTGCTGAACAACGTTAAGTCGTGATTCGAGTTTCGACCTAAGAGAATGGGCAAACAAAGCAGGACTTGAATCATCCACGGTATTGCCGAGAAAACCGTAAGCCTCCTTTACGAGAAGCTCGTAGTCACCAAGTTCTAATCTTCTCTGCGTTGCAGCCCACTTCAACGCAATTGCTAGCCACTGCGCCTGCACAGATGCCGTCAGATTATGGATGTAAAATTCCTTCCTAACAATTCTGTAGTACTTCATGAATCCGGCGTGTTCACCCTCTTGCAGGATGCGAAGCATTAAACCGGCATTTCGAACCGAGAGTCCCGCACGAGTGGGGCCCATCGTGACATGAGTGAGGTGTCTTTCTATATATTGGTTGAGTTCGTCTTCCCAATGCACGCTGCGACGGCAGTGCGTCAAATTCAGGTACAAATATTCTTCCTCGGTTAGCTTCACAAGTCCAGATTCTTCCAGAGCATAAAGAAGTTTCTTGAAGTTCTTTGCACGGCACCTTGCGAGGGCAGTGAGGCAAGGAAATACATCTTGGGGTGATGGGGGAACTGGCTGCCGTTCACTGAGGAGCGCCTGGAGACACCACACCGCAAGCTCCTCATCACTCGTGTCTGCCGCCAGCCTCGCAGTAATATGCGCCAAAGAAACGGAGGGAATGTAATCCGGCCACAGGCTACGAATACGTCTCACCCACGCCACACCTTTCGGATTTTGCATTGATACATTAAAGAACAAAAGGGTTTGCTGGAAAAGAGCATCATCTGGTGGATTTTTTTCCGACAAAAGATACACTTCAGAAAGCTCTGCATAGCGGCAAGCGAGGTCCCACCGCTCGGACTTGACACAAGAGCGCAGCATACTCACCAGAACTTGTGGCGCCAACCATTCAATCGTCTTCCCGTCAATTTGACGTTCCCAGCAGGAGAAATGCTGTTCGTACACGGCAGCCTCACCATAGTCATCTGCATGGTATAACACCAACCGTTTCGACTTGGACCACCAAGTGTCAAACGACACATCGGCTGGAAGTTGTAGTAGACGAAAGGCCTCCGCAGAGACGATACGGTACTTTTCCAGATGCTCCATTGTTTCCACCACCACCACCTCCTCTTCCTCCACACCATGCGCTGCCCTTTCATATTTTCGCATATGACTGCCTTGGCGAGCATGCTCAAGTTGCACATAACACCTCGTGCTCTGCCAGTAGATGCGGAGCACAAGGAATGCGCTATGGGATGACGGTCCGTGACACTTATCAGCGCCGCCAATGCTGGTCAGACACTGTTGCAGATACTCAGGTTGTGACGTTGATGCAGCGGCGTTCACAACAACATCACTCAACGATACCGGGGCCAAATTACGACAGCTAAAAAATAGTTCCGCACACCGCGCATGGCAACCTGCAGCGTGCGCCAATCGGCAGGCCTCTTTGCAGAAGCGCACCTTGCGTGGATCACTGCAATGGATGAGGTCATCCAACAGAGTTTTCAGCTTCTCTGAGTCGTGAATCCCGCCAGGCTGGGTAAAAGAGCGGATGCCGGCCTCCAAGCTCTCGATGCTAGCGGGTTCAGCAGCAGTGTCACTGGTCGATGATAGGAGCACCCGCGTAAGCTGATGGAATCGAAGCAAATGGGAAGGCCTGAACATGATGACCCATCAGAGAGACGCACCCACACCCACACACGCACAGAAACATACACGTAGGCACACGACCCCAACCCTGTCACTCCCCCTCTTCAACTATAATAATAATAATAATAATAATAATAATAAACCAAATCCAAACCAAAAGAAAGAAGAGACACCATGGCTATGTGTTGAGTCTTATTCTCATGTTTGTTTTTTCCCTCACGCCCCAGACGAGTTTCTGCGAAGTGGAAGCATCACACTGCTGCCAACACCGTGACAATATCAAAACAGCAAAGTGCATCGACCACGTTGCCTAAAATGCTGCCACTCTTCTCCCCACACCACCTCCTACCCTTCCCACCATCACAAACACCGACGCACACTCCCCCTGCCTCTCTCCTGCCCTGCCCTGTGGAACAAATAATCCCTCATTCTCTTTTTTGATAGAGAAAGAGATAGCGACGGAGCAATCTGAATCCGGAAACTTACAGAACAGCGCAGGCTAGGTAAAGAAAGTGGTGCTTATCTTATNAGAAAGAGATAGCGACGGAGCAATCTGAATCCGGAAACTTACAGAACAGCGCAGGCTAGGTAAAGAAAGTGGTGCTTATCTTATGCAGTTTCCTCATTGCCGCTCCCAGCAGTAGCCGCTGTGGCAGATGGCCCCACCTTCGTCGCACCGTGGTACTCCAGAATGGCTCGAACACATTCAGCTTTCTTCAGCCGCCGTCGCTCTTTTATCTCTTCCTTGACGAACGCATACAACTCGTTCGCTGTGTAGTGGTTCAGCAGCTCAAACTCTGTGATCGCCGGGTCACGAAGCGGGCGCCGCTTCTCACACAATATCCGCCGTGGAATAACCGACGGCCGTTCGCGCATGTATCGGTCGAGATTCTCCTCCGTGAGGAACTCGTCGCTGCACTCGCCCTCCTCGGTCCGCCAACGCTTCGCGGTGGACTCGCTGGTTGACTCCTTACCTTCCTCTTCGTCGTCAACGTTGATTGTCACGTAGCACTTCTCGTACGAAACAATTAACCAATCAATCAGGTCACTCCTCCCTGCTTCCCCCTTTACACGCGGTGGTGGGAACACCACATCAACCATGAAGTCTTCCACGGCGTGTGGAAGTTCCTCAGCTCGGGCACGTGCCGACTCCAGCACCACCGGCTGCACTCCGCACGCCAGCACCATGGCATCGTTTGCCTCACGGCTCCGGCCACTCATCCAGTCATCAACTGCATCGATGAGGAACTGTTCCGCCAGCGGCGTCGCGCTACCCATCAGTCCAAAAGCCTCCTTGATGCGAAGGACCACCCACACCGGCAGATCATTCTCTACTGTATCGACAAACGACACCAATGAGGTCGGTAGAAGCACACCCTGACTAAAAGAGGAAGTGGGCTCATCAGGGCTGCCAACCAGCCGCAGGACTTTGTCCCGCTCCTCTTCATCGACAAAAAGACGTGTGATGTTGCTGCTAAAGGCGTGGAGGCCACGCGACAAGATGACGTGGGCCACACTTCCGACACCAAAGGTTCGCGCCACATCCACAAATGCACCATCATCGATGAGGTCTTGTCCAATTACAAGCGGCTGCAACCCCACAATGTCCAAGAATACCAGAAGACGAAACAAGGGGTTGCTCCTCCAGACGGCAACCACCTTCGCGTGCGTGGAGGGCGAGCACGGAGCGCGGATAGTGCCATCGCGGTCTGTGGATGCTCGCATTTGCCTCCTTATGAAGCTACCCGGCGATGTGAATAAAACATGATGCATGTCAAGGAGTTAACAAGAAATCAAACAAAGAAAATAATTCTCATTCATACACAAACAACCCACTCAGACAAACTCAGAACGGCTTTCATGAAGCCACATGGGTAAAAGATACCATTTTTTCCCTCCTCCTTTTTCTCAGTGCTTGTTTTAAAGAGAGACACATCAGGCGCCTCATTTCTCCCTCACTCGTTGAATTAACTTCGCTCGACGCATTTTTTCTTTAGGGTTACGGCGACCAACTGGTAACGTCGGCCCCGTGATTCGTCCATCACCACAATCCGCTTCCGCCGCTTGCGTGCTGCATGGCGACCGCTCCCCTCGCCCACACCAGCCACCTGATAGCGAAGTGTCTGCGGCTGCGGGACGAGCAGCTCTCCACTCTCCATATCTCGCAGCAGTACGTTATCCTGTGAACACACGGAAGAAATATCAACAAAGAACCTTGCTGGGTGCTTGTCACCATCTGTGCCACCGCCACCACTCGTGGAGTTGGAGGTGGTGGTGCAGAAAACTGGAACCTCAACAGTGGCCCCCGCACTGGTTTCGACTGTAATGGTCGACGCGCTGTCTTCTGTCCACACATCAAGTGGCTGCTTTTCAGGCATTCGTAGAGAGAGCGGCGACACGCTGGTCACCTCGCAGCACATGCTGGCCCCCCACAGCGGCATCGAACGCGCCTCCATCCTGCAGGTCCTCTCTACAATGTGAGGCCTTCGGCGGCACTCCAGACGTTGCCGATTGACACGCCGACTAACCCCAACTGCCTCAAGATTCACCCATGGGCCTTGCATCCTACGAGCATTCACACTCCATTAAACATGTGCGGTGGAGAGAGAGAGAGTGTGTGTGTGGGTGTGTGAGGTGGGGAGAAAAAAAGCACAATTAGACCGTGATGGGGCGTGCTCCGTCAGCATCAAAACAGAATGACCACCATCAGCTGGAGCCAGCAAACAAACAATCGCAAGACCAACATCAGCAGCAGAAGCAGCAGTAGCAATATGAAAGAAAAACGGTGAAACCTCACCAAAAAGAGATATTCTCGTAGCGCTCAGCGCCCGCCAGGTGCTTCATACTAAATAGCGCAGAGAGAAATATTTTCCGCTGTGCCTTACCAAAGACGTACCCAAAGAAGTAGCTCGCAATGCCCCCGACAGTCACCTTATTCAGATCGCGTATTTGTTGCAGCAGCTCGTCCCCCGTTGCATTCATTGGGATTGACGCGCCCTCCTCGTCGAGATCGCCTGACTGATTCTGTTGCCACTGCTTTTCCGCATTAAGCATTGCAGAAGTGCCGCGAAGAGCCGACCAGACACTGTCGTACCGTTGCTGGGCGCTTGGGTGATCCGAGACTTCAGACACAGCCAACACAACGCGCAGTACTTCCCGTAGCTGCAAGTACTCACGGGCCACGGAAGCGGCAAACTTCCACCGTTTTTTAAACATCTGACGCTCAGCACTGAGTGCGGCAAGGTCATCAGGGGACATAGGTACTGAAAGCCGCATAGCAAACCGCTTCGGCATCGCCCGATCACGCCTTGCAATGGCGCGCAGCACCGACCATCCCAGATCGTGCTCCTCTTCCACAACTGTCGCGCGCAGAAGGTCCCGTACACTCTCCACATCCATCACTTCGGTGCACCACATGCGTTTCTTGACCGCTTGCAACGCCAGCAGCAGTCCAGTGAGGGCAAAGCGTGGCTCCACCCCCCTGATGATGTCGGCGAACGTGCGCAGGTCCTGAACGACCTCCTCGCAGCGATCCACCACCCACTGCTGCAGCTCCTCCGTGGTGAGGATCCTTGCACAGGCATTGTACGGCGGTGAAGGGTCACTAGCACCCTCGTTACCTACATCATCCTCACCATCATCAGAATTCTTTCCACACCGTGGAACGAAGAGCGCGACAGGAAGGTTGTTGACCGTTGCGTAAATCCGAAGCAGGGAATCATTGAACAGAACACATTTCAGTCCAGGTGGGTGCAGGAGCAGCACTCGCTCCGTGAATAGCCTCCACAGCGCGACATTATCTGGCATTGTGAATTCACGAAAGAATCGGTTGAGTGTTCCAACGAGGAGTACCTCCCGCACCGATGCGAACTCCGCCCACAACATCAACAATTCATACGGCATATCCTGGAACCTGGAGCGCGTGGTGACGCAAACGGTGGGCGCTGTCAGCTCGATACACTGCATTTTGGCTTCTTGATCCACCCACCGTATGCTATTCCCCAAGAGAACAAAAAAAAAGAAAAAGAGGAAGGAAGAGGAAGAGGAATCAACAACGTTAACAAACAACACGATCATCATGATGAAAACCGAAGCAACAAACAAAAATACAACCCAACAATAGCAACACAATCACATATAAGGGAATGGGAGGTGAGAAGGTGTGTGCAATCTCAGGCTTCTTCAATGTGCCACGCGCATGGATTGAGCGCAAATGAAGCACCAGAATAAAAGCCTTTGGGCTGAGGCATCGTTTTATTCACTGAGGCTGCCAGCCACCATTATTCTAGAGTCCTACTGAGAAGAATGTGGAGCGCAAGAACAATAATAGTAATAATAACAATAATAATAGTAATAGTGAGCAAAGCCCAATTCAACAGTAGCAGAAGCACCGCATGGGTGTGAGTGTGGGTGAGAAATCGCCTGCACACATATACGCGTGCAAAAAAAAAAGAGGGTAGAACGGAGATATGCAGCACAAGAATAAAATGGGATTTACATGGCGTTGTTTAACACCGCCAGTATGATCACAAAATAGTTCTCCTCCAACTCCCCCATGCAGCCCAAGATGGCAGTGCGATGGATCAGCGCTGCTCCCGATTCTCGTACGTCCAGAACGACAAGCAGTCAACCAAAAGGGCAACAAAGAGTCCCGCCTGCGGCGCGTTAATGAACTCCTCGCGTGTAATGCGAAGCGGCTCGGCCGTTGCAATGAGATCGAACGCTTCTTGCACGACAGTCTCTCGCGACGGCACTTCGAGGCCCGCAGAGACCAGCTTGCTGTGTGTCTCACGGAAGAAGTAGTTGGCGTGCACCGGGCTCAGAACCCCCTTTCCCTCAATATCGAGGATGTTCCAGAAGAAGAGAGGCCGCTGACACATCGGAAGGAACTCCACCGCGACAACGAAATCCACAAATTTTCGGAAGTCCAGCTCCGAACTTGCCATCATCACGTTAGTCTCAAAGAAACGGTCAATGAAGAGAGATGAGAGGGGGCCAACATCCGGTGGGAGTCCGTCATCCACCACCGTCGGGAGACCCTTTTTGTACCGCTTCATGTTGTCCGCATTGAGAGTGCCCTGATTCCGTGTGTCGAGGAGCAGGAACTTGTCGTATAGGTGCGACGTTATGGAGGCACTAAACCAATTGCGAGGTTGGTCCTCTCGCATTAACTGCAGACTCACCCACTCATCCATCACAGGACTCCGTAGCAACGCGTCAATGCGAATTGTGCCCCTTGACCCTGGATCCAGGGCCCAAAAAATGCGCCGACTCACTGTGCAGCAGTAGAAGGGCAATATATCTTCTGTGAGATCACGCAGTGCATCCACACGCGGGACCAAGTCGCGCACGTAGCTTTCTATTTCATCCTCCGTCAAGCGACCGTCGTTGTTGGTATCCCACATGATTAATTCGGCCTCGCACTTCACGAGGGACACCTGCTTGGCGAAGCGTTGATAAATATGCGCCACCTCCACACCGCCTGTGGGGGTACGCGGACAAGAGAGGTACAGCTGCATCGAGGGGCGTGGCTGCAACGTCGACCCAACATACACCACTTCTCCCAGTGGTGTAGTGTCGTCTGGACAGTCTTGCTGTGTCGACAGCACAGAAAGCTCTCGTTGGGGAGAGGCTCTAGGTGTCGCCTCAAACCGCTGCTCATGCCACGCCTTAAACTTGTTCAATATCTCCGTGTACTCTGCGATTGTGATGATTAGATGTGTTTTATCCATACTAAGTAATGCCCATAGTTTGGCATGCATCTCATCTAATTGCTCAATCTCTCTAAAGCGCAGGTTAAGCTCGAAGGCCTTGCTCGTGATGCGTAGTAGCCGCAGTACCTCCTCTGCAGAGGGATCACGCTTCCGCAAGTAGATGGTGGGAATGAATGGGTCGGCACTGTTGCGCCACGCCTTTTGTGCCTCCGTGTTAATGCGCGCTATCTCACGGTCCCACGACTCGGCGTCGGCGTCCTCGTGCGTCGATGTGCTGCTGGCGACACGTTGGAAGGCGTCTATGAGAGAGCGGCCCGCCTCTTTTGTGGGCCCCGGCATCAAAAGGCCCTTCCCCCTTCTTTTTTTTCCCCCTTCCCAACGCCGCCCACCTCATGGAGTTCAAAAGAAAGGAACAAGGAAACAAACAAAACGATGCGCAAAAAACACGAACTAAACCAAAATGTAAAGGGAACAGATGTGCATACGCGTCTTATGACATATTCTGGAAAATCCGGCACCTTCACCTGGAACGAGGCACACCCACCTCTAGGCACAACCATCCCGAATCACGACACGCAGCGCTACCCACTTCGCCACATCACCCCCTTTCCCTCAAGCGTCCGTGTCAAAGTGCAACTCTCTTTATGGAGCTGCACTTCTCCGCGTGCTCCTTCAGCACAAGGTGCGTCTTTTCTGCACAGCCCCGGTTCGTTTGCTCCCGCATGAATAGAATAATGACAAACACCAATGGTATAAACGTCTTCATGTATTCGCGGCGGTGCTCCGCCTGCGCCGTCGCTCGCTCAGCTAGGATGCTATCAAACCGCTTCTGCGCATTCACGACAGCCTCGCCGGAGACCCTGCAGTGTGCCTCGAGGTCGTGAATGTAGCGATCAATGCAATCGCCGTACGACGTGCTAGACCCTCTCTCAACAGGTGTGGCACCCTCTCGTCCAGACGAGAATGCCGCCACGGCTGTGCTGAGAGCACCATCGTAAGACGGTGATGACAACAACAACAACCGACGCTGAGAGGCTCTTGTGTGAAGAGGGGCAAACAGCTTCGTTTGCGCCATTCACCGTCCACTTGACAATCACCAATCAATGGAACCCCGCACACCTCTACACAAACTACGAGAACAAAGAAGGAACAGCAAAGGGAAAACGATATCAAGGATGAATTATCATTAAGCAACAGAGAAAGTGCACTTTTCGCCCCGCTCCTCTTCACTAGAAAAGCAACAGGAGGTCGCCTGGAATGAATCTTTACACAGCGCAGTCCAGAAGCCAGTGGGAAGATAAAGGGAAGGCGAATTTGTTTGGGGATCAGTACTGTAATATGAAACGTTGATCATCGTTACGCTTCAGAAAAATAGATGCGTGCGTTTGTGTTGAGACATCATGTAGGGGCTTGGGGTGGCAGGCGATGAGGAATAACGGCCGCGACGACTAATGCTAACTCAGAATGCAAGAAAATGAAGGAGAGAATAAACATACATAGCACTTGTGCATAGCAGGCACCATGTTTCAAACACCCACCACCACCACCACCACGCCAAAACCAAAACACAAAGCCCAGCGCATCACGTATACCATCCGCAGAAACACTCTTCGCAGAAGATCTACATATATACACGCACACACAGATTGGTTTCACCGCAATTAGAGGCCACTGCCCTCTTTCTGGTTCAACTCTGCGTCACGCCACTGTGTTTAACCTTGTCCTCGTTCACCATGACCAATGTGGTCGCCTGGAATGTGATACGCACATCAATCATCTCACTGATACTGGCAATTCGATTCATCGGCTCCCCGTCGTACTGCATTGCGAAGCCCGCCGGCGCCATAATACGCAACTGTCTCCCCTGCGCAACCTTCATTGCTTTCCGAATGCCCGCGTGCACACCTGCAATGTGCAACGCGCCGTACAAAACGCAGACTTCCAGCATTCCGTCCCCAACGCTGGGCTTGGCGAATACGCCCCTGCTGTCTTCCCAGAGTACAGCCCCACCGGCGTATGAGGTCACGTTGGTGACGACAAGCGCCTTAGCATCTGGGGGAATCTCAACGTCCATGCCGTCCACCTGGAGCCGCATCTTTCCCCTCGGCAGAGTGTCGGCGGTGCACATCGATCCACAGCCGAAACACCCGTACCAAAACTTATTGACGGCGCGCTGCGAGCACAAAGTCGGGTGCTCATCACGGAACGCGCTGAACTGACTGATAATGGACGCATCAAAGCCAATGGAGAAGTAATTCATCATTGTGTGACTTGGCGCATCGGCGTCCCCAATACTTTTTTTCGAAAAGTCATCATTCCAGCCATTCGACAAACTGACTGGGTATTTCTGAACGACGAGCTTCCAACGGTCCATCTTTAATTTTTTCGCACGCTTGATTCGATCTAGCAGCCTCTGAAACTTCGCATCAGGTTCTCGTAATGGCTTCACGTAGCCACCGCCAAAGCCAAGAGTGCGACTCAGATCGTTCCCCGTGCCCATCGGCAGGACAGCAACAGCTGCGGAAGCGCATGGGATCGCACCCACGTCACGCAGTCCATCAAGTATATCCAACACCAGCGAGACGGTGCCGTCTCCCCCCGCCACAATCACAACTGCAGGCTTATGACGCATGATAAATGCCTTCGCGTCTTCTACCGCAGGCCTCTTCACGGGGAAGAGGTGAAAGACCTTATCATCGCCAATGTGGGCGATCAGCTGCTTCCGAACGAAGCTTGCTGCTTTACGCTCACCACTGTTTCCATTAATGAGGGCTACAATGACATGACCAACATCCTCATCCACAGGAATAGAGTGCTCGTCAACAAGCATGCTGATTTATCGTCACAACTATACGCTCCCGGTTAATATAGACAAATATATGTCAATATGTGTGTATGGCGTTGGGTACACGTCGTGCGCCGCTTCTGTGAAACATAGAGGTGCTGCAAAGTCCACACAAGAGAGAACCAAAAACAACAATAACAACGATAGGTTGGAATAGAAAGACAAAACCACCCACCTCTAAGGGAGGTGCAGTGACTCTTTTTGTTCAACCATTTCCATTCTCTGCTTAATCAAACCAATCATGTAGGTTTCCATTCAATTTCCCTTTCTTTTTTTCTTTCACCCCTCAGACACACGCTCTCTCGGCCTCTTCTTGGTTGTACTCCCTGTGCATGACGAGGCTTATTTCGTGCTTCCAGTACCTGGATCGGATGGAGTCCTCCGTCACTAGCCGACGTGCCAGCTCCATCGCCCGCATCTCATTCTCAAGAAAGAACTTTATGCACCCATCCGGCACCTGGGCTACTTGCGTCTCGACGGCGTCGATTCCAGCTGCGTATACCTCAGACGGTAACGCCTTCTTCACTCGCGATCTTTCGTCGTCAGTGAAATAATAACACCAGAGATGCTCGAGCAATAGGAAGAGGCAGTGATAATGCGCTGCATAGACTTGATGCACATTGTCTAGCAGAAACTGAGAACGACACTGATGAATAACATGCACCGTCTTCGCATCTCGTGCTGTTCCGTACACTCGGAAGTCCTCTGCACGAGGGGTGATGACATCCCGTAGAGCGCACAGCTGCTGGAGAAGAAGAGAAAATGTTGCCAAAAAGTCGTTCCACGAAACCTTATCACTCAAACAGGTATAATGTGAAGACGACCGTGAGTCATTGAAAATCGGCTCACTGTCATTGAGGCAGCTGTGTGCTTTTCCAGCATTGTTAGACAGATGCAACCGTATAGTTGCAGCCTGGAAGACAGCTGCAACTGACCGGGCGTGAACAAACGACGACTCATTGCACGGCTCGTAGAAGCACCACTGCAGTGCATAGTTCATCTCCTCCAGGCAGAACTGCCGCACCACCTCCTCCACGTCCGTTGGATGGATTGGAGCATTGTTTCGCAGCAGTACACCAATAAGGTCATTACGAAACACAAGGAATCGGTGACACCACGCTGAGTTATTAAAACAGTCCGCCCTTATGAGGGACGCAGTGTACATCAACTCATCATTCAGAGAGCATGGCGGAACGGTGGGCTTCATGCACTCACGTTTCCACTTCGAGTTCGGAATAAATGGTGGAAGGTCGGATCCACTTGTCTCCCTTTTCTGGGCGCTGATGCCGAAATGCTTCAAGAGCGCCGCCCACAGTGGTGGCTGAAGAAGGAACGAGAAGGCGTGCACAAACCACGACCGATGCAACCACACGTGGTAATTCTTTACGTCAATCTCCAATACCTCGTTGCAGAGAGTTCGCTCATCAATATCTGCAAACCTCACGTTGTGATGAGTGGAAAGATACCGGTCAAAGCTTTCCAGTGAGGCGAACGCTTCCTGGCGTAACGCTGGATCTGTGCGTGCAAGAGACTCTATTAACAACTCCTTCCGGTGGTGCCACACCTGAAAGTTCTTGTGAAACCGCATGTTGAAGCTTTTCATGACGTTTAACTCCCACTGCACCGCACGCCACGGGCTATACGCGCCGCCGGGCCCCTCCACGTCTGCCCGCATCGGCAACCACCTCTCCGCCACTGGCATTACTTCCTGTAGGAACATGCGGGTGTTGTCGATCTTATCATTTTCCTCTTTGAGGGATTCTTGGGTTGAGCTCAGCAGCCGAGCAGGCTCCAGTAAAACATCCCGGCGATCCTTCCATACACTGTAGTGGGAAGTGCATTGACGAAGCACGTAGGCCGTAAGAAGAAACCACTTTGCAGACGAAGGTGAATGGACCCCTGTGAAGGTGGCACTCATCGTTCGGTACATACCCAGGACATAATTGAATGTACTTGAGTATTGAATGCGCAATACATCCGGCTGCTGCGGCACGATGGGCTCTTCCGTGGGTTTGATATCGAGCAACAGCACCTGAAGTGCCTCCAGTCTGGAGAGCAAGCTCAGTTGAGCATCACTTTCTGTGAGAGAAGGAGAGGAGTTCACTGTTTTGTACGACGACGACGACGATGATGATGAGGCTTCTTTTTTATCATACTCTGCTACAGTTGGTTGCATGATGTATGTATTAGTGCCGCAAAAAATTCTATGAGCTGGGATCGTCAGCAGACTTGCAGAACACAAAAGGAGGAGAATAAATAAGGGGGATGGGGATCATAGGGCCACTTTTTTTTTCATTGCCCTAGTGATAACAGCTTCTACTCCACTCTTCTGGTGCTTTACTTCACGACACGCGGCGCATACCAGATAATACAAAACAAAAAAAAAAAGGAAAGAAAAAGACATTTTTTCCTTTTTTGCTTGAGTCTTGTCAAAGCCTTCATTTTCCCCCTCCCCCAACCCATTCCATGTAGCGAAGACTCTCCCCAATATTGTAAGTTCCTTCATCTCCCTTTGCCTCTTTTGAAGCCATTCATCAGGTGTATACAAAGGAGGAAGAAGTGACATGAAGCGAGAGAGGAAAGAAGTGAAGCCACGCGAGGGTGCAAGGCTGCACTCAAAACGAAAATCCTCTTTCTTAATCAGCATCATCCACCCCTCCTTTCTATAGTCGTTTTTTTTTTTGCCAGGCTCTGTTTTATCCAGTGCTAAAGACCCCAATGATATCTGCGGCGACACATTGTTTTTTTGTTTGTTACTCCCGCTTCTTTTGACCCCCGAGTACCGAGGATTCCGCTACACCTTGAATACCTCCCTCCCCAGTCCTCTTCCTTTCCCCCCGTTTGTTTTTACTTCTACGGCGCCGCGGTAGCAGCGTAGAAGTGGTAGCCATGCTATAATATTTCATCCCATCTCAAAGGAGTTTAGCGAAGAAGTCGTTGCCCTTGTCATCCACAACAATAAATGCCGGGAAGTCCACCACTTCGATCCGCCACACAGCCTCCATACCCAACTCGGGGTACTCTACGACCTCGACCTTCTTGATGTTGTTCTGCGCCAGAATGGCAGCTGGCCCACCAATGCTGCCGAGGTAAAAACCACCGTGCTTTTTGCACGCGTCTGTCACCACCTTGGAGCGGTTACCCTTCGCGAGTGTGATAAAGCTGCCACCGGCGGCCATGAAGGGCTCAACGTAGGAGTCCATGCGGCCTGCCGTGGTGGGCCCAAAGGAGCCGGACGCCATGCCCTTCGGTGTCTTCGCTGGTCCAGCGTAGTACACGGGGTGATCCTTCATGTACTGTGGCAGCGGTTCCTTGTTGTTAAGCCGCTCCATGATCTTTGCGTGGGCAATATCACGTGCCACAATAACAGTCCCGGTGAGGCTAAGGCAGGTGGTGACGGGGTACTGACTGAGCAGTTTGCGGATCTCGGCCATTGGCTGGTTGAGGTCCACTTTCACCATCCCGCTGCTCAGGGAGGTGAGTGGCACATCAGGCAAGTACTGAGCAGGGTCCTTCACGAGCTGCTCCAAGAACAGACCATCTGCTGTGATTTTTGCGAGGATCTGTCGGTCGGCACTGCAGGAGACACCGAGACCGACAGGACACGACGCGCCGTGACGCGGCAGACGAATGACGCGGGCCTGATGGGCAAAATACTTGCCGCCAAATTGTGCACCAATACCGGAATTGCGGGCGATTTCCATTACAATCTTTTCCCACTCAAGGTCACGGAAGGCGCGGCCTGCCTTGTTGCCGGTTGTGGGAAGGGAGTCATAGTAGCGGCAGCTGGCGAGCTTCACCGTCTTCATCGTCATTTCCGCACTGGTGCCACCAATGACAAGGGCAATGTGGTATGGAGGGCACGCTGCCGTGCCGAGCGTTTTCAGCTTCTCTTCAATAAAGGCACGGAGCGACTTGGGGTTCAGCAGAGCCTTGGTCTGTTGGTAGAGATACGCCTTGTTCGCGCTGCCACCACCCTTAGCGACGAAAAGGAAGTGATACTCGTTGCCCGGCACCGCCATCAGATCCATTTGGGCCGGGAGATTGTCGCCAGTGTTCGCCTCCTTGAACATATCGAGCGCCGCCGTCTGGCTGTAACGCAGGTTGCGATTCTTGTAGCAGTCCCAGATGCCCTTGGAGAGGTACTTCTCATCTTCACCTCCTGTCCAGCAGAGTTCGCCACGCTTGCCAAGAACAATTGCCGTACCCGTGTCTTGGCACGCGGGAAGTACACGGCCGGCAGCGACGCAGGCGTTCTGCAGCAACGTGTGAGCAACAAAGCGATCATTGTCGCTCGCCTCGGGGTCTTCGAGGATGCGGCGCCACCCAGAAAGGTGATCTTTTCGGAAGAAGTGGTGCACGTCAGCGAATGCCTGCTCCGCCAGCAGCGTGAGCGCCTTGGGGTCCACCTGTAGTATCTTCTTGCCAAGCGCCTCCACCGTCTTGACGTAATCTCCCGGGATTTTGTAGTACTCCGTGGCATCGTGGTGCGCATCCGACGGCTGGAAGATCGGCTCGTAGTGGAATTCTGACGCCGTAGCATTTGCGTCCTCAATGTCATTCACACCATGGCACTCTTTCGCCTGGTCACACTTGCTACAGAGGGCCATCTGCTTTCGTTTTTGTTCGTTGCTTTTGAATAAACTTCTTGTAATAATTTTTGGTAAGCACTTCGGATTCTGGATCTGTTGCTAAGTGGGAATGTATGGGGGGAGAGGATGTGTGAGGACAACGCTCTTGGGCGAAGAAGCGGCAGATACAACAACAAAAAAAACAGTTCTAAAATCGCCTCATCCCCCCAACATGTCATGCCTTTGTGTCGCATTTCAGCAAAACAACACAAGACCCAACAGCAAACCGCAAAAAGAAAGACATGAACAGCACTCAGCACCACTACGCCTCTCACTGCCACCAAATTTGTGCACGTCCAGCCACACCTTCGCATCTCCCCCACCGACCCGTCTCCTTTCACGCGTGCACCTCTGTGGAGTCCTTGGCATTGCAGGGGAGGCACACTACCATGCAGCATCACCTCCCAGTCGTGCGCGGCACAGAGTCTCAACGCCATCTCCCAGCACGTTTCACCACAAATAGCCCGTGATGCCGGCTGTCACCGTGACGCCGTCGGTGGGCACAACCGCAGCAGGCCTTGCACCGCAGCAACTGCCCTTGGATGGGGACGGCAGCGCGCTCACATGTGCCGCCACATGACGCTTCGGGCTTTCTATCGTGCCATAGAAGTGGACACAGCAACAAAAAAAAAA